TTGAAGGACATTTGAATTATTTCCAGTTTTTGGCTATTATGAATTAAGCTGCTATGAACATGTGTGTATAGATACTAAAATGCCTATATGGAATTAGCTACCACAAACTGGGGGCTAGGAGTGCTTATTGAGTCCATCATTGTTTCTAAGGGCTTTTCAGTGGAATTAGGATATGCTTTAAAAAAAATCCTCACCAAAAAAAAAAAATCCTCACTTGAGGATATGTTCATTGATTTTATTTATTTATTTATTTTTAAACATGATAAACTCATTTTTTAAAGTATTTTTTTAATTGATTTCAGAGATGAAGGGAGAGGGAGAGATAGATAGAAACATCAATGACGAGAGAGAATCATTGATTGGCTGCCTCCTACACCCCCCCAACTGGGGACTGAGCCTGCAACCTGGGCATGTGCCCTTGACCGGAACTGAACCTGGGACCTTTCAGTCTGCAAGCCGACACTCTATCCATTGAGCCAAACCAGCTAGGGCTGTTCACTGATTTCAGAGAAAGAGGAGGAGAGAGAAACATCCATGGGCTGCCTGTTGTACACACCTCGACTAGGAGTTGAACCTGAAACTTAAGTATGTGTCCTAACTGGGAATCAAACCCGCAACCTTTTGGTGCATGGGACGATTCTCCAACCAATTGAACCACGCTGTCAGGGCAGGACATGCTTTTTATTTTTATTTTTTATTTCAGTGAGGAAGGGAGAGGGAGAGAGAGATAGAAATATCAATGATGAGAGAGAAGCATTGATCGGCTGCCTCCTGCATGCCCACTACTGGGGATCGAGCCCACAACCCGGGCATGTGCCCTTGACTGGAATCGAACCTGGGACTTTTCAGTCCGTAGGCCGACACTCTATCCATTGAGCCAAACTGGCTAGGGCAGGATATGCTTTTTAATTTAAGCTAAAATATGCCATGACTTCATACAGTTACTTCCTAATTAAATCAAGACTACAGGGAATTTGCATAAATCACTGATTTTAGATTTGCATCTTTTTTCCTGTTATAATACAAATCTACATAATTATTTCTTCCCATTTTTTATTATGGTAAAATATGCATAAAATTTAACATCTTAACCATTTTTAAGTATACATTTGTGTTATTAAATATATTCATAATGTTGTGCAACTATCACCACAATCCATCTCCATAACTTTTTTTTTTAAATCCTCACTCGATATTTTTCCATTGATTTTTAGAGAGAGTGAAAGAGAGAAGGAAAGACAGAGAGAAGGAAAGACAGAAAGAAATATTGATTGCACACACCCCGACCATGGCCCAGGCTGGGGAGGAGCCTGCAACCCAGTACGTGCCCTTGACTGGAATTGAACCAGGGACTGTTAGGTCCACAGGTCAACGCTCTATCCACTGTACCAAACTGGCTAGGGCTCCATAACTCTTTTCATCTTGTAAAATTGAAACTCTATACCAGCAATTTTCAACTAGTATGCCACAATAATTTTTAAAACATGCAATACCTACTTAGGGGTACTGACCTTTTTTCCCTTATATTGTCAAATTAAAAGAAATGACAATAGCTGTCCAATGTGAGTGAATCAAAATTATACCTACTTTTTTTGTCAGATCGGCAAAAAATATCAAAAAATATATATTTTGGCATGCTGCAGAATTTTAGTAATTAACTTGGGTGTCATGAGATGAAAAATGTTTAAAATCACTGCTCTATGCTCATTAAATAACTTCCCATTTCTCCCTCTTCCTCCCCATCCCTTGGTAACCACCATTCTACTGTCTGTCTTTATGGTTTTAACTAGTCTAAATACCTTATAAAAGGTATTTAGTTGTCTTATTTTTGACAGTCAATATTATTTTATATTAGTTTCAGGTGTACAGCATAGTAGTTGATTATATATTTATGAAGTGATCCCAACATAATTGTTTTAGCCTACATACTTTCACCGATTCTCCACAATATGACTACTGAATACAATTTAAGATTTTATGGCAGTTTTCTGTTGTTGTTAATCCTCACCCAAGGATATTTTTCCATTGATCTTCTAGAGTGGAAGAGAGAGGGAAAGACAGAGAAACATCGATGTGAAAGAAACACATCGTTTGGTTGCCTCCTGCATGGGCCCTGACCAGAGCCTGAGATGGGAGAAGCCTGCAACTAAAGGATGTGCCCTTGACCAGAATAGAAAATGGGACCCTTTGGTCCGCAGGCCGACGCTCTATCCACTGAGCCAAGCCGGCTAGGGCTGGCAGTTAATTTTGTCTTTTGGGTAGATCTTCGGATGTATAGTTAAATCTGTGTTTTGAAGTCATTCAGTTTCCTTCTGTGCAGTTAGGCCACCAACTAGATATACATTTAGGTTCATTTGTTCCTTTTACTTTTGACTTTCAGGGATTGATTTTTTAAAAATTAATTTTTATCATACAATCATGTAAAACATAGATTTCCGAAGTCAAATGCACAAAGTATATTCAAAAGTCTTGCTTTTTCCCTTCATTCTATTCTCTCCTTTCCAAGCTAAATAACCATTAAAAAATTTAAATGTAGCCCTGACCGGTTTGACTCAGTGGATGGAGTGTCGGCCTGTGGACTGAAGGGTCCCGGGTTCGATTCCGGTCAGGGGCATGTACCTTGGTTGCGGGCACATCCCCAGTGGGAGGTGTGCAGGAGGCAGCTGATCGATGTTTCTCACTCTCTATCCCTCTCCCTTCCTCTCTGTAAAAAATCAATAAAATATATTTTAAAAAAATTTAAATGTATACTTCCACTTTTAAAAAATGTAAGTATTTATTTATTTACATTTGTACCTCCCTACTCCCTTTTACAAATAAAGAGTAGAGGGAGCCCTAGCTGGTTTGGCCTGCGGACTGGAGGGTCCCAGGTTCGATTCTGGTTAAGGGCACATGCCTGGGTTTCAGGCTTGATCCCCAATGGGGGGTGTGCAGGAGGCAGCCGATCAATGATTCTCTTTCATCATTGATGTTTCTGTCTCTCTCTCCCTCTCCTTTCCTTTCTGAAACCAATAAAAATATTTTTTAAAAAAGAGGAGAGGAAATGGGCATACTTTCTTATTCCCAACGTTAACAGGTAAGCCCTTGCTGTTTCGCCACTGAGATCCTCAAAAACTTTTTTTGTAAAATGAAGGCAATACTATCCATTCTATCTGATCTTCCACACCATTTCGTGGGAAGATGAAGGATGTGAAAAGTGGCACACAAACATACCTGTTTACTTATATTGAACCATTTTTGGGAGAACCTTGAGTCCTGGATCCAATTTAGTACGTTTAACACAAGAACAAACAGAGGCTCACAGAGTCCAGAGGCCCTGCCCAAGGTACGCAGCGAATAAGCGAGAGCTCCAGTCATCTGCCTTGCAGTCCAGGGGTCCGATGCATCCACCAAGCTCTTCTTTTTTAAAACTGTACTCAAGCCTTCTCTCTCTCTCTCCACCGAGGTGCGTGCAGTTTGCTTCTCCTTTGCCATGTCTTCCCACAGGACTTTCAGATCAAGAGGTTCCTGGCCAAGAAACAAAAGCAGAATCGGCCCATTCCCCAAAGGATTCTGATGAAAACTGGTAATAAAATCAGGTACAACTTGAAGAGGAGACAGTGGAGAAGAACCACTGGGTCTATGAGGAATCACACATGGGAGATGGCTCACATATTTATGCTGTATCCAGGTTGCCTGCACCCTTACGTGATTGAAAAGATCACTACTGTCTGGGCAGTTGGGGCATTTTAATCGGGAAATTATTGGACTCATGATTTTGCTCTGTTGATTTTATTTTCTGCAGTAGTAGGTTGGTTCAGTAATAAACGTGAGACCTTTTAAACTGCAAAAAAATAAAAACTGTACTCCACATATAAATACCTGTTTTTATAGAAAGGAGTATTTTAGGAGACCCTCGAAAAGGAAAAAGTAACAAAAAGCCTCAAGGCTGAGTGAGGCAGTTGATGCTCAAGCAACCACTAGCGCCCAGAGTCCCAGGCGGGAGCTGCCCTCACTCAGCTGGCAGCTCCGGCCCGAGCGCGGAGGCGACGGGAAACCTGGAGACGCAGTGACGGCGCCGCGTAGGGGCCCAATGCGAGGACGCTGGGCAGTGGAGTTAAAGCTGCCCCTGGGGCACCCCGACAGGAGGGCTGACATACTCCGGACTCCAGGGGAGGAGTCCGCCAGGAAAGGGCGCCATGGCGGAGCTTCCGAAAGAAATGGTACTGATGAGGATCCGTAGAGCTTCCACGGCTCCTGCTCTAACATCCCGGCCTAGGGGCGGGGCGGAGGTTGGCCCGCAGGGGCCGCCGGGAAACCGGGGGAGGAGCAACAAGGATGACGCTGGGGAGCGTAACAGGGCGGGGCGAGGGCTTGCCTCCCCGCCCGCTGGGTCGGGCTAACGGCTTCCGGTCGCGATGTCTGGGCGGGG